ATAACGATTGATAAATATCCCCGATCTACATTAGCAGACCCTCCTGCTAGGAGAGATGAGGAAAATTGATTGCACTGGGCAATTCTCCAGCACAATCTCTATATCTATGTTCTGCTTTATGTCATGGAATTGTTCTTTTGTCACTGATTGAGGCTGTTCTATAGACAAGGTTACCATTTTAGTAACAAGCTCAGGCTTCCCATAATGAGCATTTTTATTATGGAAAATTTTATAGCTAACCTGAACCTGCCTGCTTTCATGATGTCGGACAGGAGAGTGTATAAATGCAGATAATCAGGACGTGAGTAGTAGTTCAGTGTGCTAGAATTTACATGCCCATGAAATTAGATGCAAAAGTAGTTTCTTTCCTACTGTACCTCAAGTGTTCGGCAAACTTTATCAACTGCACTGGACAATTCTCCAGCACAACCTCTATATCTGTGTTCTGCTTTATGTCATGAACTTCTTTTTTGTCACTGAATAAAGGCTGTGATAGTTTGCTCAATCCCTGTGATCTCTTATAATCATGCAAGGGTGTCTCTATTGAGTTGCAAAGTGACAGTAATATCACAGTGAAAAATGAAAGCAAGTGAAATGAAATTCTATATCAAAAAGCTCACCGTGCTATTGTAAATTAGGCCCCTACCCGCACTCAAACTCATATCATAGTTATAATTGATTGTGTACCTAGCATTCGCCCATGGAAGAGGTCCACGTAGCTCAGCTAACATGTACAGCAAGCACCATAAGTCATCTACCCGTCCTTGCTCGCACTTTTCATGTGTATTTATTGAGCAGTATCTAGTCGTTCCCCTACAAACGCTAGGTCAAAACAGTCAAAACAAATTTCATTAATTTCGTAAATTCACCGAAACAGAGCTCTTTGCCGTGGCCTTCTCATTTTGATTTTTCCTTCAGAATTTACAATAAATTCTCTAGCTAATCCAAAGTCTAGTAAATGTATGAATTTGTGCTCACGAGTACCACGTCTTCCAAGAGCTAGGTTTGCAGGTTTCACATCTCGGTGAATGAACCCAATCTGCAAACAAGTTATCTAATTATTGGATGTTTTGCCACTGTTTTTTGTCTTTACGAAAAAAGGTACTATGCTCACATCATGTATTTGCTTCAAGGCGAATAATGTGTTAATACCAATTCTTACTTGCGTGGAAACACTGAAGATCTTACCAATACGCCTGAATA